CCCACTTGGTGAAGTAGTCCATGCACACAAGGATGTATTTATTTCCATTATCAGTCACTGGAAACGGCCCCGCAATATCCATGGCAATCCTCTCGAAAGGGCTCCCAACATTGTACTGTCTCATGGGTGCCCTTGGTTTACGATGAGGCCCATTGCTGGCAAAGCACACGGTGCATTAACGACACCACTCCCTGACGTCGTCACTGCAGTTCACCCAGTAAAACCGCTCTCGTACCCGCTGCAGTGTCTTCCTCACTCCTAGATGTCCCCCTGAAGTTCCATCATGTACATATCCAAGTACTTCCGACACTCGGCTCCTAGGAATGACCAACTGCATCCGATTATCCGACCCATCATCGCTCTCGAGATTCCTCTTGAGCAGGTCATCTTCTAATACCAAGGAGTCCCACTGACTCCAGTACGCCTTCGAAGTCTGTGAAGATGGTGCTACTTCTTGCCAAGAAGGACGACGATTCGCTCTCTTCCATTCTCGAAGCTTGCAAAGTTCTGGGTCCTTTTCTTGCTCTTGCTTGATTGCTGCAGGTAACCAATCTTCATTGACAACGGTGGTTCTGTAGAGGGCTGCTTCCTTATCCTTCGAACGACTACAATGTGAGCACTCAGGTGGACATGGCCTTCTGGACAATGCATCTGCATTCTTATGGCTCGTCCCCACTCGGTGTGCTATCTCGAAGTCATATTCCTGGAGCCTCTCGATCCAACGAGCTACTTGGCCTTCGGGGTTCTTGAAATTCAGGTGCCACTTCAGTGCAACATGGTCCGTCCTGAGTAGGAATTTTTGTCCAAGGTACTTATAGAAGTGCTCCACCGATTTTACCATGACCAATAGTTTCCTCCTGGTAACGCAGTAATTTCGTTCTGCCTTCGATAGCACCTTGCTGAAGTAACCGATGACTCGCTCTTGCCCATCCTGATACTGCGAAAGGACTCCACCAATGCCGATATTACTGGCATCTGTGTCAAGAATGAATTGTTCTCGTGGAAGTGGATACCCAAGAATCGGTGTCGTGGTTAAGCGTTCCTTCAGAGCATCAAAGGCGGCCTGGCATTCTGGATCCCAGTGGAAGGGACGTGCTTCCTCGGTGAGACGAGTCAGGGACTTTGCGATATCCGAAAACATTCGAACGTAACGTCGATAATAAGTGCAGAGCCCAAGAAAGCTCCTGAGTTGATGCTTATCTCTTGGTACTGGCCATTGCTTCACTGCTCGTACCTTCTCAGGGTCGACTTCCACATCCTGCCTTCCTACGACGTGTCCCAAGTAGTTAACCCGTTTCTGCAGCAGATGGCATTTCTTCAGATTGAGTGTGAGGTTTGCAGCCTGAAGTCTTCTGAAAACTTTCTCTAGGTTAGCCAGATGTTCTTCAAAAGTTTTACCGATCACGATGATGTCATCCAGATAAACCAGGCATATCTTCCAGGAGAGTCCCCTCAACACATTCTCCATGATTCGTTCGAAGGTGGCCGGAGCATTGCAGAGTCCGAAAGGCATTACCTTGAATTGCCATAATTCAGTGCCGATGGTGAAAGCTGTCTTTTCCTTATCTGCCGGATATATTTCCACCTGCCAATATCCACTTTTCAGGTCCAGAGTGGAGAAAAGATTCGATTCCGCCAACGTGTCGAGTGTGTCGTCAATTCGAGGCAAAGGATAACTGTCCTTCTTCGTCACGTTGTTCAATCGGCGATAGTCCACGCAGAAACGAGTGTTTCCATCTTTCTTCTTTACTAGTACCACTGGTGAAGCCCAAGGACTATTGGATGGCTCGATTACCCCGTCTTGTTCCATATCCTGGATGATCTTTTCTGCAATTTCTCTCTTGGCCTGTGGTAATCTTCGGGCTGGTTGACGAATCGGTCTGGTATCTCTCGTATCGATTTTGTGACTGACGATGTTGGTTCTACCTGTTTTTCCATTGGCAGGTATGAAGATGGATTTATACCTCTGCAGTAACTCGGTTAACTCCTTCTTCTGTCGGTTGTTGAGTGAGTCGCTTGCAGCAGAGACGAGTTCTTCATACTTGCCGGCCCCATCAGTGGTTGCTGTCACCTGGTGGATTATGGAGGCTGCCGGGACACAGGTTCCAATCTTCGTTCCTTTGCCAATCGTCACAGGGTAATTATTTATGTTGATCGAACAGGTACATAGCCGTCTGCTGACAGTGAAGCCTTGCCGACTAAAATTCCACGTCCGACTTCCTCGTCATGGTTCCTGGGTTCCATGATGATGGGACTGCCATGCTCCAATGTACCCTCAATCCGCGCTGCTACTACGGTCCCGCTCCGTTTCGGTAACAGGACGTCCTCTTTTAACGTTACTCCTGCTGCTACCTCCACCCGTGGATGTAAGAAGATCTCTTCGGCACCCACCTTGAGTGTTCTGCTTCTGAAGTCCAGTTGAATTGTCCATCTACGTAAACGCTGCTGTCATCACGCCGTAGGAATGCCACAAAGATGAGAGGGTCTTGAGAATGACGGGTCGAAGCTGCCCCCTCGATGTCGACCCGCTCTAGATGGTCCTTCCTCAGCAGCCTGCTTGGCACGTTTACAAGTTCTCTGGAGGTGGCTCAACTCCCCACAATTCCAACAGCGAACTGATCTCCTCTTTTTATCCGAGAGGCCCTTGATGGTGTTGATCAAGGCTTCATTTGAATCTTGCCTGTGGCTCTCGGCTATGTTCTCGCTGTCATTTATAGCTCGTACCTTCGCGAATTCACGGGAAGCTTCTGCTGCGGCCTCGATCTCAAGTGCAGCTGCCAGAGCACTGGTGAGGTCTTTTGGTCGAGTAAGGCGAACTGCTTTCTGCATTTCGATATCTCGTAGTCCATCTACGAACGTTTGAACAGCCAAGCATTCCATAAGAGATTCGGGAGCTGATGGATATGCACAATGAACCAATCGTGCAACGTCCACTTCGAATTCTTGCAGGCTCTTGTTGACTCTCTGTCGACGGCTCTTCATTTGTGATTGAAATACTTGCTGAAGATGTTCGTGACCATACCGCATTTCGAGGCGTATGACGAGATGATCGTAGCTATCGGCTCCTACTTCCAGAATGGCTTGCAATATGTTCAGTGCATCACCCCGTAGAGCTACTGTAAGAGCTACCACCTTGTCCTTGGATGTTCACCCATTGACTTTGGAAGCTGCTTCGAACTGCTTCAAATAGTTCGGCCACGATGTTTTACTCGATTGGTAGTAGTCACTGCATCTGGCCCAACTGTGGTTTCAATCATCAGTCCTTGATCATTTCCAGCCTTCTCCAGCACAGCTATTCTTTCTCTTCCGAGTTGCAGCTCCTTCTTCATTTCTTCTATCTGGGTGGTGAATTGGGTTGAAACCTGATCGATCTGAGTCATAACTTCTTCCCGATGTGTTGATATCTGAGTCAATACTTCTTCCCGTTGGGCTAATATCTGGGAGGCGATCTGATCTCGCTGAGCAGAAATACGTGCCAGTACCTCTTCTCGCTGAGTGGTCATCTGAGCTAATACCTTGTCTCGTTGGGCTGAGATTTGGAAGGCTATCTGATCTTGCTGAGCTGAGATTTTCTCCTGCTGAGCACGCATTTGATCCGCGATCTTCTCTTGCTGAGCTACCATCTGGTCCGCAATGTCCTGTCGCTGAGCCGCAATCTCCTGTCGCTGAGCCGCAATCTGTTCCGAGATCTTCTCCTGTTGAGCCACCATCTGGTCCGTGATCTTCTCCTGCTGAGCCACCATCTGGTCCGTGATCTTCTCCTGCTGAGCCACTATCTGGTCCGCAATGTCCTGTCGCTGAGCCGTTATCTGTTCCGAGATACCAGCCAACATCGATTCCGCTGAAGCTGCTCCATCGAAAATGAACGTCTCTGGATCTTGACCTACGCTCACCATATACTCTATGAGACGATGCTGAAGTGTAGCCTTGATCCCTGTTGTGTCGAGATCTCTCTCTTCCAACTCGTGTTTCAAGTCCACTACTTTCAACTCGTTTAATTTCTCCATTACGACGGTCTGTTCACTTCACACTGGAATATCCCACACTTCTGACACCAATTGTTACTTTATTCGGGTGCAGAAGCAAACACGACACTATTTATTTTCGAACTGATTTATTTGAACTATAGAAACACTAACTCATAACGAATTATAACTACTATTTATGTAAAACGATTTATATCACACGGTATATAACTGTCTCTCTGACACTCGCTGCTTAACTGCCTGACAGCAGTTGTTCGACCGTTTATATATGAGATCACTTGGCAGGCTTTGGTTCGAGAAGGTTCTCGAATGATCTTTAGTCTCATTCTTTTTGTTCTAGAATCTTCTTAGAACAAAACCTCTCCCTCTAATTGTTCCATCGATTGTTTCCAGAACATTCGAGAATCTTCTGTGACGTTATTTGTCACTGCGGCATATATTGAGTGTTCGGAAATATGCTGGTGTATGTAGGAATCATTGGGAGGTTGGGGAACAATCTGGGATGCGTGATACAGGATGATCGTTGAACTCCTGTCTCACTGATGATGTTTCTAAAGCCCCTCTAAGGGAAATATCATTACAATATGATAAAATATATGGTATTCTATTTGAAAAAACGTATGTGTGATGAGTCACAGACATCCTGTATAAATGAAAGTATCTTTTCATAAGAAGTAATACAACTTTTATTCTGAACTTTTTTCTGTATATATAATAGTTTACCAGATAAGGGGGTGGCCCATGTTATGTGGGATACCCTGTACCATGGTAGACCTTGGATAGGGGTGATTGGGGATTGGGGGGACCCTTCTATATACCAGGTTCTCTTTCAATTCATTATCAGCTTTTTTGAAATTCCTCAAATACCATATTTCACCTATGATATAAACTTCATTCTTCTGGAAGTACGCAATTATTCTATCCATCTTATCACTCATTATACTAAACTTGAAATATCAATTACATATTATTTGTTATATTGCAGATTTCCTGAAGAATAATGACCCAGCTGCAATGGAAGGCCTTGAGCAGATTATCAACTATGCGATAAGTCTCACCGTAGGTCCAGCTTCATTACTACCGATATCACAAGATACCGCTTCGTCTATCAGTACCCTCAGTAGAAGAAGTACTCGATTAGATTCATACACGAGTATTTCGTCTCTGATCAAAGGTAAAGGGCCAAGAATTAATCTTTCCCAAAAAACGGATATGATCGTGAAAGCAATGGAAGAGAAACAAGCCAGTTTAGAGTCCTTCCTCAAGAAATCTCATAGAATAAGAAGGAACTTGAAATCTGAACTCGAAGAATTCAGTTTAAGAGAGAGCGATATTAGAGAAGCGAAGAACATATTCGAATTCAATGTTGTTACACAAGGTGTAGATCCCCTTACTCAAAGAATACCAGCTGAAAAATTTTTGAGATACATGGAAGATTGGTTGAAGAGTGCACAGTTCAATATTGAGAAACTAAGGCTGAGAACTGCATCTCTTAAAGTTCAGTACAAAAAAGTATCAGCCACCTTGATCCAGAGGCAAGAACTTGGGGAAAATGTTCATGCTGTAGACTTTGACCAGTTACAAATAGAAAATAAACATTTTTTGGAAAAAATTGATCAAAAACAAACACATTTGATAGAACTGAAAAGAATGAATGGTGGTGCCAATCTCGTATTGAGTAAGCATAAGAAATATCTTCAGAAACAACAGGAAGACTATAATAAATTGAAAGATTCAGTGTCACAACAAGAAAAAGAAATTGAAGACCTTGAAAAAGAATATGAAAAAGTCGAACTGGAACTGGACAGAGCGAAAGATAAATTCGAATATTATAAAAACCTCAAAGGCACCTACAAAGTACCAGATGTCATGGAATACGTGAATTTAAAAAATGAGTTGTCTGAACTCAAAAAGAGCATAAAAATCTGGCAGAGGCGAAAAAAGATTCAAGATATAGCATTGAACGCATGCATTAGAGAAATGAAAAATATCACAGGGGCTTCTAAAGTTGACCCTACTTGGTTTGAAGATCTTGATCCAGATAGCAACTATGAGTTTGATGTTTGATTTCAAGCCAATAATTTCTTGAGACTTGGTTGAAAGAAGAATATATTGGTGCTGCTGGAAGTTTTTGTCTGGATCAATACTCAGAATAGAATATTTATAATCTATAATAACGGCAGCTCTATCACAGCTCCTGAACTTATTCCATTTCAACTATAAAATTACATAGGTACCTGAACAGTTCAGCTCGTCTCAGTCCGATATTATGTATATGGTGAATAATTCAAGCGGGAAGGGAAGGGAAGGGAAGGGAAGGGAAGGGAAGGGAAGGGAAGGGAAGGGAAGGGAAGGGAAGGGAAGGGAAGGGAAGGGAAGGGAAGGGAAGGGAAGGGAAGGGAAGGGAAGGGAAGGGAAGGGAAGGGAAGGGAAGGGAAGGGAAGGGAAGGGAAGGGAAGGGAAGGGAAGGGAAGGGAAGGGAAGGGAAGGGAAGGGAAGGGAAGGGAAGGGAAGGGAAGGGAAGGGAAGGGAAGGGAAGGGAAGGGAAGGGAAGGGAAGGGAAGGGAAGGGAAGGGAAGGGAAGGGAAGGGAAGGGAAGGGAAGGGAAGGGAAGGGAAGGGAAGGGAAGGGAAGGGAAGGGAAGGGAAGGGAAGGGAAGGGAAGGGAAGGGAAGGGAAGGGAAGGGAAGGGAAGGGAAGGGAAGGGAAGGGAAGGGAAGGGAAGGGAAGGGAAGGGAAGGGAAGGGAAGGGAAGGGAAGGGAAGGGAAGGGAAGGGAAGGGAAGGGAAGGGAAGGGAAGGGAAGGGAAGGGAAGGGAAGGGAAGGGAAGGGAAGGGAAGGGAAGGGAAGGGAAGGGAAGGGAAGGGAAGGGAAGGGAAGGGAAGGGAAGGGAAGGGAAGGGAAGGGAAGGGAAGGGAAGGGAAGGGAAGGGAAGGGAAGGGAAGGGAAGGGAAGGGAAGGGAAGGGAAGGGAAGGGAAGGGAAGGGAAGGGAAGGGAAGGGAAGGGAAGGGAAGGGAAGGGAAGGGAAGGGAAGGGAAGGGAAGGGAAGGGAAGGGAAGGGAAGGGAAGGGAAGGGAAGGGAAGGGAAGGGAAGGGAAGGGAAGGGAAGGGAAGGGAAGGGAAGGGAAGGGAAGGGAAGGGAAGGGAAGGGAAGGGAAGGGAAGGGAAGGGAAGGGAAGGGAAGGGAAGGGAAGGGAAGGGAAGGGAAGGGAAGGGAAGGGAAGGGAAGGGAAGGGAAGGGAAGGGAAGGGAAGGGAAGGGAAGGGAAGGGAAGGGAAGGGAAGGGAAGGGAAGGGAAGGGAAGGGAAGGGAAGGGAAGGGAAGGGAAGGGAAGGGAAGGGAAGGGAAGGGAAGGGAAGGGAAGGGAAGGGAAGGGAAGGGAAGGGAAGGGAAGGGAAGGGAAGGGAAGGGAAGGGAAGGGAAGGGAAGGGAAGGGAAGGGAAGGGAAGGGAAGGGAAGGGAAGGGAAGGGAAGGGAAGGGAAGGGAAGAGGGAAGGGAAGGGAAGGGAAGGGAAGGGAAGGGAAGGGAAGGGAAGGGAAGGGAAGGGAAGGGAAGGGAAGGGAAGGGAAGGGAAGGGAAGGGAAGGGAAGGGAAGGGAAGGGAAGGGAAGGGAAGGGAAGGGAAGGAAGGGAAGGGAAGGGAAGGGAAGGGAAGGGAAGGGAAGGGAAGGGAAGGGAAGGGAAGGGAAGGGAAGGGAAGGGAAGGGAAGGGAAGGGAAGGGAAGGGAAGGGAAGGGAAGGGAAGGGAAGGGAAGGGAAGGGAAGGGAAGGGAAGGGAAGGGAAGGGAAGGGAAGGGAAGGGAAGGGAAGGGAAGGAAGGGAAGGGAAGGGAAGGGAAGGGAAGGGAAGGGAAGGGAAGGGAAGGGAAGGGAAGGGAAGGGAAGGGAAGGGAAGGGAAGGGAAGGGAAGGGAAGGGAAGGGAAGGGAAGGGAAGGGAAGGGAAGGGAAGGGAAGGGAAGGGAAGGGAAGGGAAGGGAAGGGAAGGGAAGGGAAGGGAAGGGAAGGGAAGGGAAGGGAGGGAAGGGAAAGGAAGGGAAGGGAAGGGAAGGGAAGTAGAAATTGTCAGTATTGTCAATGAAGTCATTCGATTGACTTGTCAAGAATTTTCGGGTTTTTCCTCATTAGTCAGCCCCCGTGAAAGTTGCGAAGGAGTGTGGTAACTCACAAAATTATTCCTTTATATGGCTTGAGGTGCTCCTTGGCTCAGTTTCTTACGTGTGTAGTTGAATGGCCTGCATTTTTAGGTGAGTGCTACTTTTTTGTTCATATACTCATTAGTTCAACCTAGCTGCACTTCTAAACACCTACGTTGGTATCTACTCAAAATTGTGGTTGAGGAATCGAGATTTGTCCATGATTTTTATAAAATCGCCTCAATAGTCTCACAAGCTGCATTAGTTATTTTTATTCAACGATTAGTAATATCAATTATAATAGTTGTTGTAAAGCCAATCCCTATGTTCTGGAATCACACAGTATATCGTTATATCGTGAATAGGTCCACCTTGTTTCATCATTCCATTTCATGTATATTTATATTATTGCAACATGAATTGTTTTATTGTTTATATCCATACATATTTATTTTGAATTTCGGAATCTTTGGTTTCTACCTCAACCTCATTTTCGGGTACCTACATTCTACCAATTCTTTTTTGATTGGATCATAATTATCGGACGATCATTGATTATTGGTTGATAACCTCCAACGCGGAACGCGTCATGAATTTGACGTTATTTGAGTATAGAAATCAAGGATTCATCCCCTCTTCAAAACACTCAGATGTAGAGTGTTAGGTGTGGATTTAAGAAGACGTGATCAAAGAAAGTGAGACAGTATCATCGAATGCCGAAAAGTTGATTATATACTTGAAGTTACACCAGATTCGAGTGTCATTGTACACCAACCCCTAACTACCCCAACTTGAATTGGTGGCAGCGGTGGGATGTACTAGCGATAAATCAAGGAAAATTTGTGAAAATTGCCTGTTAGTACAATCCAAAAACAGTTGGACCCATCAAGAAGACGACGTGTCTAGTGAAGTCCTGTTGGAGAGAAGTTAGGAATTGTTACACAGAATACTTCGTTTCATATTCATATCCACTAGTTGGTCATCAAAGTACCTTGGATAGAATAACGAAGTGACTTGTTGTGCAAATTGTGTTGCTCAGTGTGCCGATTGGTGTGACAGAGCAGTCCTGAGTCAATCCTGTTGAATACGAAGACAACAAATAGAGGAGTCGTCGTTCATGTCCCTAGAAGCCAGCATCTCCACATCATCCAGAGATCAACCAGGAGAGCTCCTAGTATTGTCCTTTTGTATTGGTTAGGAAAATGGTTTTATCATTATACGTAGCTCTTGGAATCATCCCGGAATGTTCTGGAGATAGGGAGACTTTACACAAATTCATTTCATGTTGCGATATCGTCGCTGGTATGACTACAACTCGCGAAAAAATGGCTATGCTTTTGAATGTTATTAAAACAAAATTATCTGGTTCAGCTCATAATTTGGTAAAATATGAGGATCTTGATTCGTATGAAACATTGAAACAAATAATGAATCAACAATATTTGGAAAAGCGTACCATTGCTCAGCTCCAAACAGAGCTACTCAGTTCTCGTCAGAATCCAAATGAACCAGTCCGATGTTATGCAGATAGAGTTCAACGTTTGACAATTGATCTCACTAATGCTTGTGTAGAGAGTCAAGGCAGAGAGGCTGCGCCAGTCATCCAAAGATTAAACGCGGATTGATCACTTGAAGCTTTCGTTGAAGGCCTTCAAAATCCAATAAAATCAATTATTTAGGCTAGTAGATTCGAAGATTTTGATGAAGCTGTTGAGGCTGCGTGTGGAGAAGAAAGAAATATGAAATCTCAAAGAAATTTACAACACTCTCATTCACACTCAGGTCCGCAAAAGGTAAAAAAATGCTTCAAATGTGGAAAACTCAATCACACTGCAGATAAATGTTATTCTAACAGTTCGAATACTAATTTCAATTCCAGTCAAAGCTTGCCAAATTATCCCAGCAGCCGATATCCGTTAATAAAAAGCGAAGTCAATGTAAATAGTGCCCAAGTAGTCTGTAGATATTGTCATAATGTTGGTCATTTGATAGATAATTTCAGGAAAACAGCATACAATAATTCTCGAAAAAATGTTGTTTTTAATCCGCATCCTGAGCGTCCCACTAACATCCCGAGTACATTCAATTCCAACTTCAGACAATCACGTGAATTACCAACCAGAACTCAATATATGTCAACTCCGCGTAATTCGGTAAACGCCGATAACCTGGCTGCATCGCACAGCGGCGTAGTCAGGGGCGCGATATTCAGAATTCGCAAATGTGAAATTAAATCAAATCCAGCTAGAGTCCAGCCATACAGATCCCATTTCAGTTCATCGTAGTAATCAAAGTTATTTCGAACCCACTGAATCAAGTTATGAACCTTCAAATTTTATATCCCCTGAGTCCTCCGTCTCCCCTGAATCTACCAAAAACAAGTATTCCATATTATCTGAGTCCTCTGTCTCCTCTGAATATACCAAAAACAAGTATCCCAATTCATCAGTATTTTTCAATCCCTTGGAATTAAAATCCGAAAACAAAATATTATCAATGGAAGCGGAGAGAAGTCCCGGCTATATCAAACTGCCTCTATCACTATCCAAATCGAAGGTAGCAAATTCATCGATCGACACAGGTGCTGATGTGAGTATCTTGAAAGCAAATTTGGTTGAAGATAATGCTGTGGTCCATATTAATGATAAGATAAAATCAAAAGGGATCCCTACAGGCGAATCAAAGCATTCAGTTGGTTACAGCTATAGCGAAATTCAATTCTCAAAAAATACGTCTGTCTCACACGTATTCCATATCGTACCCAAGAATTTTTCTATTCCAAGTGAAGGCATTTTAGGAAACGATTTTCTGAAAAAATATAGGGCGATCATTAATTACAAATCATGTACCGTCACCTTTCCAATTTCTGAACAAAATTTCGTTTTCCAACTTACTTCACCAAGTATTACAGCAACACAGTGTAATGATACGAGC